ATAGTACAAATTACTCCATAAAACAGGGGGAAAAGGAGAACAGCAGCCGGGCAAGCCTGCAGCTGGCTGGCAAGGTTTCAAAGGCAGGGTTTGTGTTTTTCCTCTGGGGCACCCCTTGAGGGGCAGGATCAGCTCAGCCCCAAGCCCCCAGTGGCCACTTGGGTTTCAGGGAATCCCAGAATGGTTTGGGTTGGAAAGAGGCCTTAGAGAGATGGAACAGCACCGTGGTGCTGCTGCTCTTTGGCCACCACCAAGGTGCTGCTGAGGTGGTTTCAGAGGTGCTTCCCACCTCCCAGGGGTCACAGGGCTGTAATAAAGGCTCTGCCAGCAAAGGTTGGTGCCACAGATGGACAGGGGACACTCCACTGAAGGAGGACTGGCACTATAGGACACGAAACAACACAAGCACACACACTGCTGCTCTCAAGGTGGAAGAGGGAAGTTTATTTTCTGACTCCAACATTGATAGAGTTCCAAAAGTGACAGTGGATTGGAGGGTGAAAGTGCCACCTCTCCAATGTGACTGTGTAAGCAGGAGCCTGAGGATGAGGGAAGAGATGAGGATCTGACTCCATGTTTCAGAAGGCTGAGTTATTATTTTATTATTATATTATAACTATACTAAAAGAATAGAAGAAAGGATTTCATCAGAAGGCTGGATAAGAATAGAAAAAGAAAGAATGATAACAAAGGCTTGTGTCTCAGACAGAGTCTGAGCCAGCTGACTGTGATTGGCCATTAATTAGAAACAACCACATGAGCCAATCCCAGATGCACCTGTTGCATTCCACAGCAGCAGATAACCATTGGTTACATTTTGTTCCTGAGGCCTCTCAGCTTCTCAGAAGGAAAAATCCTAAGGAAAGGATTTTTCATAAAAGATGTCTGTGACATCTCCAATGTCACTGGACAAACCAACAGTCCATCAAATTTCTCCTCCTCCATAAAAGAATGAGACACAGTGAGTTATTTACAGAAAGTGTGTGAGAAAGTTTGCTACAAGAATGTAAACATCAGAAGGCTTAGAAAATATTAAAAAATCAGGGTGACAGAGGACAGCCCAGGCAAGGCTTTGGAGAAAGCCACTTGCAGCATAGCTCACATAATAAAAAATATAGAGCTGCATAACAAAACTTCCCTTTCCTCCTGCAGCACATTTGTTTGCTTCCAAGCCCCCAACACCAACACTAAACCTGGTCCAGCTCTGCAGCAGGGAGGTGAGAGGGGACAAAACCAGGTCAGGCCCAGGCTCAGTTGGTCTCCTTTGAGCAGAAGCTGCAGCAGATGCATCTCCTCCCCTTTGTGCCCTTTCATCCCTTGCTCCCTGCTGCCTTTGCTGTGCTGCTTTGCCAGCTCCCAGATCCCTTTCCCCCTTGGCCAGCTGGATTGAGCTCCAAAGGCTGCTGGAAAAGGCCCTGTGGGGCAGGCACAGCATCCCCTCTGTGCTGGGCTGCCAGGACCGGGGCTCTCCAAACCCTGCCTCGTGGTGCCAGGGATTTGTGGGCTCAGTTTCACATCTTGGGCTCGCCCTCAGGAACTCTGCAGTGTCTGCATGGCTCATTTCACACCACAGAGGAGAGGGGGCTGTGTCCCTGTGCAAAACACAGGGTCCTTCCCATGCCAGGCAGATCAACACCTGCCCTCCTGGGCTGGGAGATGGGCAAACAGCCCTGCTGGCTGAGTATGGCTTTGTTCTTTTTATTTAAGCTTTCTGATGTTTACATTCTTGTAACAAAATTTTCTTGTGCACATTTTTGTAAATAATCATTGTGTTACATTCTTTTTTGAAAGAAGAAAAATTTGATGAACTGTTGGTTTTGTCCAGTGTCACAGAAGTAGCACTGTTATCCTCCAATCTACTGGCATTTTTGAAAATATCTAAGTGTTGAAATCAAAAATTAAACTTCCCTTCTTTTTACCTTAAAAGTTCCAGTGTCCATGTCATTTTATTTTGTGTCCTAGAGCGACAGCTGAGGGGATGGTGATAGGCACAGAAACAAAATCTGGGAGTGCATTTTCAGGCAGGTGAGGGAGACACCTGGACCCAGCTCAGCTCCAGCCAGGAGTTCTCTGGAACTCAGCTCTGGGCAGCAACTGCCTCTCCTAAAGCTCTTGGAGAACTGGAAGGCAGCTTTTGTGTCACTGTGATATTGTATGGAAATCCTTTCACTAGGATTGTTCTCCTGAGAAGCCTCAGAAAAGAAATGTGGACAGTAATTATCTGATTGCTTGGAATGTGGTTTGGAGGTTGCTCACCAACAGGGGCATCTTTGATTGGTCTCATGTGGTTGTTTTTACTTGATGACCAACCATGCTCCAGCTGTGTCAGACTCTCTGGTCAGTCACAAGATTTTATTATTCAAACTTTTCCAGCCTTCTGCTGAAATCCTTTCTTCTATAGCTTAGTATATCATTTCTTTTAATGTAATTTCTATCAAAATAATAAATCAGCCTTCTGAAACATAGAGTCAAGATTCTCATCTCTTCCCTCCTCCTGGGGACCCTCAAACACCACCACAGGTTTGGATCCCTGCAGTGCTTCTCCTGCCTAGAGCATCATTCGAAGCCTTGGAGCTGGGCTCCATGGCTGCTTTTGATGCCAAAGATGCATTTATCCCAATTTATCCCAGGATCATGGGACAAGTTTGGGTTGCAATGTGATGATCACCTAAGCTCCATGGGCAGGGACACAACTGCACCCACCCAGGCACAAAATGCAGCTGCACTTTTATTTTATCCCAGCTGCAGCAGCCTCATTCCACCCCTCCAGCACCATTTCCCTCCTCATCCCCCACAAGGTTTCCTTACCTTGAGCTCCTTGGCACGGCCCATGCTGAGCAGCAGATGTGGCTTCTCCCAGGCACTGTCATCACTTCCCTGCTGTTCCCTGCAATTCCCTATAAATTATCCCTCTCCTTTTGCAGGGGATCACCCACAGCTCATGGCTCAGAGGCCTGGCAGCATCCACCCCCACCATCATGGCATTCCCACCAGCTTTATACCCAGACCTGCTTCTCACCCAATTTGCATCTGCATTGATTCTCCTCCTCATTTATTAACCCTCCTCAGCTGCATGCCACCAAAACCAAAGGATAAATCCCCTTTTTGCTCACTCCCCTCTGCCACAGCAATGCTCTCCAAGCAGTGATCTCAGGGCTGCTTCACCCAGCCCTTGCCAGGGATTTCTCTGAGTTTACAATCCAAGCTGGGAGAGAGGGATAGCCAGAAGGAAAACTGCAAGCTGAAACTGCATGCATCAGTGCACCTCCAAGAGAAATCATTCCAGACACCAGCAGTTGCACAGGATCAGGAATTCTCTTTATTAGCAACAGTACCAGATAATTAAGCTCTCCCTCCAGAGGAATTTGGGCTGTAACAAGGAGAGGAGGAGCAGAGATGCAAAGCAGTAAAAAACCAAGCCAAATCTCATCATTCCTTGCACTGGGGGGAAAATGCACAGGGTGAAGAGAGGCTCACTGAAGGCCATAAAGGGAATTTTTGGTTGCCAGCACCAGGCTGGGTTGGGCTTTTTGACCAACTGCTGCATTATTCCAGCACCAGGGAGGGGATGGGAGCTCTGCACCCCAACCACAGCCCTTGGGTGGGTCAAGGCAGTCCCTGGAGGCCAAAGGGCTCCAAACCCACCAAAGGGACAGGATTAGGAGCTCACACATTCCACAAACTGCACACCCCACACATTTCCCACTTTGAAATAAAAATCAGCCATTGAGCAAAACTCTGTGTGTGTGTGTGCATTGCCAAGGGGCCCAAACCAAACACTGCTTTAGGGAAGGATTTGGGTACAAACCCAGTGTCCAGCACACCCACATGGCACCCTGGGGCATGGATCCTGTGTTCTCCCCACATCCAGCAGCTCCACCACTCTGTGGGCAAGCAGGAGGTGCTGAGAGAGCATCCAGCAATGGAGCTTTGCTCCTAAGCCAGCCTTGAAGGAATTCCACAGGCAGCATCTCTGAGCATCACTGCACTGCCAAGCTCTGCCTTTACACCCTTGCTGATCACTTCACCTCTTGCAGAGCATAAATCCAGCCAATTGGAGAAAATAAATACAATAATCAGATTTAGTCCAGGCTGTGCTGGCATATGGGAGTTGAAATGACTTTAAAAGCCAGTTGTCTTTGGCTGGGCCATATTTTTGGGTGTCACAGTAGCTCACCCCTCTGAAAACATCTGGAGGCCATATGGTGCCTGTCTACATGAATTAAGCAGATTTCTAGTGTGAACCTCACATCAGGGCCTCTCTCATAGCTCTTCCTGGTTCTCACAGAGAGTACAGACTGAAGACACCCTAAAAAACTCAGGTTAGGCTCACGCAGCACTTCACTTGCCTTAGGGGTCACACCAGAGTCACAGCAGGAAAAATGTTGCTCTCAGCTTGCCCAGGGAATAGTCCCCAACACAAGTGGCACCATGCTAGGAGGTAGATGATCCCTCAGTTCAATTTTATGTGGAAAAATTAAAGCAAGAAAAATTCCAAGTGGAGCATTTTCCCTTATATATATATAAATTTTTTTTTGGTGCAATGATTGTATGAAATCTGTGCAAAACTGTGCCCCAATCCCTGGGGCAGCTGCTACTCCTTCCCTAAGTTGTGAGCAGGTGCTCCAGGGCTCAAATCCCTTTTAGTTCAACACCACCATCACAGCTGAGTGAGGGGTGAACCCTCCCTAAGACCACCCAACCCCTGAAGGGCTGAACAGTGCAGCACCAAAACCCAAGGTGCCCCCAAAAGCCCTGGGTTCAGTTTAAAACCACTGGCACACGGGTAAGGGATGGTGTCCCTGTGTCCCTGGTGCTTCCCTGAGCTCCCTGGGGAGATGAGGCTGCTTTGGTCCCTGCTCCATTAAACTGGGGAGTGACAAAGTCTGCCAGAACCTTCCCAAGCCACAGGAGATGCCCCTTCCCAGAAGGGAGATTTTCCTTCTGCATCCCCCCTGGATGCAGCTACCCCCTGCCCAGACAGGCAGGCTGCCCCCAAACCCTAAATCCCCAACAGCAGCACCACAAACTGAGGCTATCCTCCTCCTCCTCAGCTGTCCCCTCTACACAAGGTGCACCACAAAAACAGCACAGGCAGAGCCCAGAGCCAGCCCCAGCACCAGGTAAAAGGACATCACCACCCCTGCTGCCTCAGCCAGCTCTTTGGGCACGATTTTGGGGCCGTAGACCATGACCAGAGTGCCCAGGTAGCCATTGCTGAGCCCCAGCAGGGCTGTGAACACCACGGGGTAGATGTCCCTGTTGAACAGCACGGTCCGGATGTGAGCCCGGGGCTGGTAGTTGCTGAGGATGAAGAGAGGGAGGAAGATGGTTCTGAGGAGGACAAGGGCAGGCAGCAGTTTGCTCTTGGGGCCTGGCACCTGGATCCAGGCAGTGACCTGCCTCCCACACCAGTCAGCAAAGTTGTACAGGAGGAAACAGGTGAGTGGGGTGAAGTACTTGGTGCTCCACGGGCTCCCCGAGGCTTTGCTGACAGACTCGATGTTGGAGGAGAGGGAAGGGAAGATGATGATGGAGATGAAGAAGACATAGAAGAGGCAGAAGCCGAGGAGGGCAGTCTTCTGCAGGATGGGGCGGAGTGGGGGGATGCCAGCACTCCTTGTGAGGAAGGAGGAGGAGCTGACGGGGCCTCCTGGCTCTGCCTGGTCCTCCACGGAGCTGTCAGGGGGCACAGTGACCAGAGAGGGGCTCTCCTTCTGGCTGCTCAGGTAATACCTGCAGAGAGACACAGGGGAGCATGGGGGAATGCAACTGAGCTTTGGAGAGAAGCTGGAGACACAGGGATGCCTGCTGGACCCAGCAACTCCACTGTCACGTTTTCTGAAAAATCCTCTCACCAGGATTTCTTCACCTGGGAAGATGAGAAGCCTCAGCTTCTCCTGTGTTTGCTGCTCTGGAATGTGGTCTGGAGATTGTTTAGCCAAACATGTGAATTGTTTTTACTTAATGACCAATCACCATCAGCTGTGTCAGACTCTGAGGAGTCAGTCACAAGTTTTTTATTATTCATTCTTGCTAAGCCTTCTGTCTGTATCTTTTCTCTCTTTCTTTAGATAGTATTCTTTAATATAAGGATATAAAATAATAAATCAGATTTCTGAGAACATGGAGTCAGATTCCTCATCTCTCACCTCATGCTGGGGATCCTCACAAACACCACACTCCACCACACCTGCAGCTGCCCCCTCATAAAGAGAGGTGACCCTTGCACACCCACCATCCCCTCTCTGCACCCTCAGTGTTCACAGGGGGGGCCCTACTGCATGCAGGCCCTTGGGGGCTCTGGGGGCTACAAGCACCAACCACACCAGGGGGTCACACACACCAGGATATGGGGACACTCCTGGCTGGCTGCCTCTGGGTGAGGGCTCTCTGCTGACTCCACACATTTTGGGAGAGGCAGCACTGGGAGGCCCTGGGAAAGCTTGGCAGAAACTCAGCACTTGGCTGAAACTCAGTTTCAGCCTGTGGTTTTGGTGAAAGGGGAAGCACGGCTGGCAGCGGTGACAGGACAGGGACCAGCAGGGCGAGTGTCCCATGGATCCCCAGCAATGCCACTGCCATCCCCCTCTGTGGCATGGCCCTGGCAGGCTGGCACCCACCTGGAGTACTCCAGCCTGGGCAGCAGCAGGTACACCACGATGCAGAGGACGATGAAGATGTCAGCAGTGAGGAAATAGGCCAGGGCGCTGTCGGTGACGTCGGCCGCCGCTGCCAGGTCTATCACAGAGGCCACGGCGCTGATGGTGCCACCCATGGCCTGGCCTGGGTGTGCCAACAGAGGTGGGCACAGTGAGGGACACACAGCAAGAGGGGCAGCCCAGAAACTGCTCTTCTGACATGCACAGGTCCCCAGGGAGCAGGGCCCCACACCCGGCTGCACAAACAAACTCCTCTCCATCTCCACAGCCCAGGTGCCATCCTGCACCCCTTCCAACCAGCACAGCACACACAGGGCTCAGGCTTGCAGCTCCCCAGTCCTGCTGGGTTTGCAGCTCTCCAGTCCTGCTGCTGGCCTTGCAGCTCCCCAGTCCTTCAGAAAAAGTCCAAACCTTTCCCAAAGGCTAAACTTGGCTTCCCACTAGCATAATCAGCCTCCCTTCTGCACTCCCCCAGATGGGGATTCAAGGCACCAGAGGCAGGAATGCCATCTCAGGGATGTGGTGCTTTCCTTCTAGGAGATAAACTCATTAAAAACACTCCTGTCTCGGCCCCAGGAAAAATTTCACCATCCTGATTTTGCTCCCCCCCTTCTCCTCTTGGTTTGTCAAGCATTCCACAGCACATTTATAATGTTATCAATGCTCCAGGGAGCTCATCACTCACAGCTCCCAAGCTGCCCCTCATCACTCATGGAAATGCTGATCAGAAAGGAGCAGACAAGGCAAAGCTGCTAGAAATGACAGGGCAGGGAGATGTCACCTCCTTCCCTCCTTTCTCCCTGCACCCAGCAACACTCCAGGGTCACTTTATGGCTGTTGACAGAAACCAAAGCTCATGTGACCGAGCAAGTTTCTCCTTCAGCAACTTCCCTTTATCATTAGGACAAAGTTAAGCTTCTAACACAAACCCCCACATGACAAAAGCCCCAGAGAGAAAACCACAGAGCCGAGCAGGGAAAGTCCAAGAGCACGATCCCACTGGGATCAGCCAACCTGAGAGCAGAGCCTGCAGGTTCCTCATGGGGAAGCAGCTGCTGAGGCCGAAGATGCTGCTGGAGAAGACAGTGGAGGCACTGCTGACCACAGCCACGCAGCCCACAGTGAGGGTGAAGAAAGGTGTGGTCCAGGTGGAGGTGTCCACCTTGACCAGCACTGTGATCACCAGGAACACAGCCAGCATGACAAAGAGGGACGACAGGATCCGGACACTGGCAGCAACCCTGGGCAGCACAAGGGGAAGGAGTCACTGCTGTGCTTCAAACCACAACCTGAAGGTTCAACATGGGACAGGGGCAACTCCTGTGCTGGCAGAAAGGGTAAGGAAAATAAAGAGAGGTGGGAGGAGATGAGGAAGCAGCGAGGCAGGAGCTGGAATCTGGAGATTAGCCATGCAAAGCCACGCCTGCAAGCATGCAGGAGTTTGATGTGGGATAAGGAAGGGTACAAATGAAGGCAGGAGGCTGCTTGAGGTTTAAACCAAGCTTGCAACAGGGGGCAGCTGATCTATTTCTTATCCCAGTTCAAGGGCTGGTAAGGCCAGGGCAAGGTGCTGCTCTTACCTGGATGAGCCTGGCTTTTGTCAACACTGATGATAATAAAGGTATTTTTAAAAGGCAAAACTTTTTGTTTCCAAACAATTAACCAAGGAATTAATTAGGAATTTATTTACTCAAGCCAACTGCAGGCATGTGTGGAGCAAGGTGTTTCTCCCACTTCATCTCAGCTGGCTGCAACCCAGGCAGGGGCAAGGAGGGGAATTTTGGCTGCACAGGGAGGCTGAGCTCAGGATGCCCCATGGTTTCCCCCTGAGCTGGGAAGCTGGAAAAAAGACAGGAGCAAAGCCAGGGAGAAATGTGGCTTGGGTACTTGGGATCAGAGCAACACTTACTTGTTGACAAGCAAGAAGTTTCCAATCAGGCACAGCACCGAGGGTATGGTGGAGGCAATGGAGATGTAACTCTCAAAATAGTCCTGCCAGGAAAAAACAAAAGCCAAATAAAGTAAAAAACGTTGCAGGGGGAACAAAGACATGAATTTCAGGTCTTGAATATGAAACAACAGGGAGTTATGGTGTAGGTGTCCACCTTATTGTGTTGTAGCCCATGCTGCAAATTGCTCAGGGCAATGGGAATTCTGGGATTTGCCCCTCCCATAGCCCTGGGATGTTTCAGGAAATCAGGGACATAAATACAGAAGGAAAAAACAACCAGTGAAAGAAATAGCTGCCATGGTGCTGTGCACCATCAAAGTGTGTCTGCTCCCTCTCCTCTCCCCTGGAGTGGCTTGATCCCATTTTTTTGCTGCAGGAATCTCAGCCACAGGTAGGATGATGCACACAAATAGGAGGATGACCTACATGTCCACCCCTATCACACCAGGTTTTGATTTTCTGCACTGATCCAGCTGCAGAGATGGGGTCTCATCACATCCAACCAGGAGAAGGCACTTGGCAGGTTTTCTCTGCACAGTGCATTATTTTTTACAGCTTGGCATCATTTTTAATCAGTTTACAAGCACGTTCATCTCCTCTTCCCTATCAGGAGCTTCACTGGAAGCAACAGGAAATCCAATAATCACTCCTAGAGGGTCCAGATAGGCAGAGACTTAAATCTCTGTGCTTATGGCATCAGCTCAGCCAAGCAGGAGGCCCAAAGCTCTGTGGCCACATGATGAAGCAGGAGAAAAGACAAAGCAAAACACAAAGCTGGCTGCTAAAAGTGCAGCTTATTTACCCACCTACTTAAACCTCCAAACCATCCTGGGGATACTCAGTAAACTTGCTTAAAAAGTTAATTTGCTTCTGCTTCTGGGGAGGAAAAATGACTTTCTAATGCTTTGCACCAAGCAGAAGTGTACTCAAAGTAGATCCCAGGGAAATATTCATTCATTCCCAGCAAATGGGCTCACAGGAGCAGTGAGGAGAGAATTGGGCAAGGACTTAAGAGTCCCTGCATCACATTTTTAATGCAGCAGCACAATGGTGGGTGGCAAATTTAATCCATGCCTGGACCAGTGGAAAAGATGAGGTTCCATACTCCTCTCTCCTGCTTGCTAGGTTTTAATCCATCTGTAATGGCAACTCTTGTCCCTCCTTGGGTTTTCCCACCCTTCAGAGATATGCTTTCATTTTTAGCACTGCAGGACATACCCAGCTCTTCTCCCTTTCTGCTGAGCCCTTAAAATAAACCCCAAAGCAAACCTGGCATTTTCCTCCCACATCCAGGTCTGATGGGGGAAAGTGTCATTCCTCAGCCACAGAGCTCAGGCACATAAAGGAAGTGTTTAACTCCACATTAACTTCAAACATGCTGCCACCATGCCTTAAAATCCCCAAACCAGAACAAAGCATTGTGGTGGCAAACCCAGCACAAGATGCTTTTGCAAAGGAGTTTCTGTGCTGCTCCTGCCAGGCTGGAAAAGGAATCCAGGTGTGTGAAGGTGGCTGAAGGTGCTGGAGTGTTGCTGAGCACGGGGAATGAGATCAGGAGCAGGGGAAAGGCTGGAGGCAGGAGGTGGCTGTCACTCAGAGGTGCATCCTTCCAGAGTGCAGCTCTGTGTGCAGGTAACCCCTCCTGCTGCAGCAGCAGGGCACAAACTGGGCTGGCTGCTCTGATGCTGATCACACCCCACTGCCACAGAACAGCTTTGCCCTGGAGAGAGGAAAAGGCATCACTCCACAGCCACACAGGAAGAGCAGAAACACCTTCTCAGCAAAGAGATGGCTGATCCAGCCAGGAGCACAGCTGTGCAAGCAAACACCTGCTTCAACACACTTGACTTAAACCCAGCTATTCTCAAGAGGATCAGCATGATGTAGAGGCAGTGAGGAACATGTGGGATGCAGGGAATATGAGAGAACACTGTGCCATGTGGTGACAAAGCACCTTTCACCCCTCTCTGAGCATCCTCACAGACACAGCAAATTTGGGTCTTCAGGCAGTGCAGGAGCTTGGGCACCTCAGCTTGATTCTGCTTCTTGCTTTACAGCAGCACATCTGTAGCATCCTGGTATAAGCACTTCCTCTCCATCAAAAAAGCAGCTGACACTTAACAATGAAAATTAAAAGAGCTGTGGGTGTACTGGAGTGAGAAATTGGAGGGGGGAACACGGGCATCACACGTGGCCCTGTGTTTATATAAAAACAAAAAGTGCCCAAACCACCTGAACAAGCTCTGCCACGAGAGGAGGACGTGACGCAGCCTCAGTGCTCCAAAACTTTTTCCACAAAGCCACAAAGAAACAAACCCACAGCTTAGACAGGGAGGCACAGGGAAATAATATTGCTGTGGCAGGAGGAGCAAGAGAGAGCAGCCTTTCTGGGGACAGAAAGGGGCCATTAACCTGCCACCCCAGGGCTGCCTCATCCATCAGCCCATGACAAGCTCCTTGCTCCAGATGCCAAAGCCAGATGTTGATCACTGCAAGGAGATACTCATGGCACACCTGCCAGGTCATGAAGGACACAAAAAAAGACCACCACAAAGACACCTTGCACTGTAGAAATTGTCCTGTGAAAGGTTAAGCCCTAATTTTTTTTAGATTCACCTTAAGACTTAGCAGTCCAAATACAGGTAAAAGGCAGACCACAAAATTTTTTGAAGCATCTTCCCTGTGGCTATTTGTAAATAAATACCAAAAAAACTTTTCCCTCTGGGGCAGTGGAAACCTTTCCTTGCAGAAGGGGAGACCCTAGAGGATGTTCACTTACCTTCTGGGGAAGTGGAGGAGGAAAATGAGCCTGTTAGGAAAGAGAAGAGGTGATTTTTTCTGCCTCCAAAGCAGCACTCACCCGCAGGTCTGAGGCTGCCTGCCCCGCCGGGCCGGGCTCATCCGAGCAGTTCTGCAGCTTGTACCTCCAGTAGTGTTTGGCCGTGATGAAGAAATTCCAGGGCAGGAGGGACCCGATGCCCAGGAGGAAAAATATCAGGTAGGCCCCGTGCCAGCGGTCCCTGGGCTTCTGCAGGCTGTACCCGCTCCCTGCGGCGTCCTCCAGCAGGGGCTCCTGGTCCGGCAGAGAGCTGCCGGCTGCTGGGAACATCGTGCTGGCCCGCTGGGAAAAACAACAGGGACATTGTCACAGCAGGGCTGCTCACGAGCTGTGCCTCCAGCCCCCTGTGGCCCCAGGAAATCACAGAATCATGGAGCGGGTTGGGTTGGAAGGGACCTCCAAGCCCATCTCACTGCAGCCCGGGGGGCTCAAAGTCCTGGCCAGGGACACTTAAGGAGTCACTCCAACCTCCCCATACATGGCCAGGGACACCTTCCACTATCCCAGGCTGCTCCAAGCCCTGCCCAACTCAACCCTAGGCACTGCCAAGGATCCAAGAGCAGCCACAGCTTCTCTGGGCACCCTGTGCTGAGGCCCTTCCACTATCCCAGGCTGCTCCAAGCCCTGTCCAGCTCAGCCTTGGACACTCCCAGGGATCCAGGGCAGCCACAGCTCCTCTGGGCACCCTGTGCTGAGGCCCTTCCACTATCCCAGGCTGCTCCAAGCCCTGTCCAGCTCAGCCTTGGACACTCCCAGGGATCCAGGGCAGCCACAGCTCCTCTGGGCACCCTGTGCCAGGGCCTCAGCAGCCAAACACTGGAGGAGCGAGCCAGGTATGGGAAGGAATGGGGAAAGGGACCGAGACTCCGCAAATACCACCCATAATTAATAATTAACCCATCCCCTTGGACTTGCAGGAGTAAGAAATCTCGCTTAGCTCATGCCACGCTCCAAAAAACACCGAACAGCAGCTGGCAAACCCACAGCGCCGTCGGGCTCTGGAGAGCAAGGTGCAAACTCGTAGTAACGCGGCCGAGCTGTAGGAAACTACTTGTAAACCACTCGTAAACTACTCCAGCAGCAACCCAGGGCGACGTCAGCCGGCTGTGACAAATGACTCACAGAGACACACGGCAGCATCACCAGGCGCAGGAAGAACACCTGAAAACGCCGCACGAGCCGGCCCGGGGCACCGGCACCCTCAGAGCCTCCCACCCCGGGGCCGGGCCCCTCAGAGCCCACCGCGGGTAGGGAGAGAGCCCGGGGGGAGGAGGCGGAAATGCCGGAAATCGCGGATTTTGCGAACCAACGGGGAATTTCGGCAGCGGGGAGCACTGGGTGCCTGCCTCCCTCCCTCCCTCCCCGCAGCCTCCCGCTCTACCCACGCGTACCCGCCCGACCCCGATACCGCGGCACTTACGGGGGTCCCGCCCGGCCCGGCCCGGCCGCCTCCGCCGCCTCAGGGCTCTGGCCCCGCCCCGCCCCGCCTTTGGAGGGAAGGCCACGCCCCCACAGTAATTGGCCACGCCCCTATAGGGCTTGGTCACGCCCCGCAGGAAAAGGGCGGGAGGCACAAGCTGGCCACGCCCCTCAGTGTTGGCCACGCCCCCTCAGTCCCAAATACCTGTAATAAAATGGTTATAAAAATAGCAATACAATTAAAGTAATAATAATTTGGATAATTTGGATTTAGGATAATATGAGATAATTAAAACAAAGAGTTATGGACATCCAGGTACATTTTCTGGGCAAAATAAGCCCAAAAAAGGACCCACATTAACAGAGGATTAACCCTTAAAAGCAACAGCCTGTTGCATATTCATACACCTCATCCATGAGGCATAAATTCCATTCAAACCCAGGATTCTGTCTGGGCAGTGTCAGCTTCTTCCTCTGAATCCTGACTGAGTCTTCAGGGCTGATCGAGGCAGTAAGTTTGTTTAATGGATATGATAATGATAATGATAATGGAGCAATAAATTCTCTTTCTCTGAAAGATTTGGGTGTCCTGCAGCTGCTATCTTAGTGGGAGTACCTCATTGCTCTCTTTTTAAGAAAAGTATCTCACATAGCATAGTTTCTATTTTAACATTTTGTTATAACCCAAAACTATATTTAACACACTACTTAAGAAAATGAATACAGCCTAACTTTCTAACACAACACATATAATATTCATTTGAATATTTGCAAAAAGCCAGTCAGAAAATACACATTTTTCACAGGGCCCAAGTTCAATGTGCCACTGCAGGGATTTGGGGTGTTGAATTGGAAGGGGAGTTAGCAAACTGGGTGTTTCAAGAGGAGAAGGAAAGGGGGAATTGGGCACCAGCTGCTCAAAGTTACCCATGGATGACCATCTATAGATGTGGGTCCTTGGGAAGATGGTTTGGTGAAAAAAGTGCCCAGAGAAAGCAGCGTGGGAGGAGAAGGTTAAAGGAATTCAGATGTAAGGAAAGAGACAATTAGGAATGGCTTTAAGCTGACAAGAGGACAGGTTTATATGGGATATTTGGAAGAAATTCTTCCCTGGGAGGGTGAGGAGGCCCTGGCACAGGGTGCCCAGAGAAGCTGTGGCTGCTCCATCCCTGGAAATGTTCCAGGCCAGCTGGGACCAACCTGTTCTGATGTTCCATGGCAGGGTGTGGAACAGGACTGTCTGTAACATCCTTGACAAAGCAAACCACCCTGGCAAGGTGGGCATTTTCCTGTGGCTACCTTATTATCACTGTGCTGGCAGGGCAGCAATTTCATCCCCGTTTTTCCTCCCTGCTTGCAGAATTCCCACTCCTGGCCAGAGCACGGACAATGTTGCCATCTCCTGGTGGCAATGAGCTGGGTGAGGTGAATGGCCCAGGCAGGGACAGAGCACTCCTGCAACCTCCCTGCAAACCCTTCTGGCTTCCCTCCCTTGCTGGGGCTTCATCAAGACAAAAATTCTCTCACCCCCAGCCAGTGTGGATGGTCAGTTTGCACATCTTTGCTGTTTGTTTTAATGCATGGAACTACTTGAAATGCAGACATTAGTTCAAATCACATATTGCTTCTAGTACAAAAATGAGAATGTTTATCGTGCCATTAATGTGAAACGTGCAATATGTGAACGGTGGGCAGGCCATGGACTAATTTTTATTTGTTGCAACCTCAAACAGGTAAGGTTTTGACCAGGTATGTCACCTCAGAATGTGAGCAAAAGCCATGAAGTGAAATCTTAATCATATCCAAAATCTCATCTTTACTTTTCTCTGGAACCTCCCTGCAAACCCTTCTGGCTTCGTTCCCTTGCTGGGACTTTATCAAGATAAAAATGCTCTTACCCCCAGCCAATGTGGATGGTGAGTTTGTACATCTTTGCTGTTTGTTTTAGTGCATGGAACTACTTGAAATGCAGACATTAGCTCAAGTCACGTATTGCTTCTAGTACAAAAATGAAAATCTTTCTGGTGCCATTAATGTGAAACATGCAATATGTGAACTGTGGGCATGTTGTGGACTAATTTTTATTTGTTGCAACCTCAAACAGGTAAGGTTTTGACCAGGTATGTCAACTCAAATCTGGGCAAAAGCCATGAAATGAAATCTTAATCATATCCAAAATCTCATCTTTTCTCCTGGGACCTCCCTGCAAACCCTTCTGGCTCCATTCCCTTACTGGGACTTTACCAAAATAAAAGTTCTCCCACCCTCAGCCAGTCTGGATGGTCAGTTTGCACATCTTTGCTGTTTGTTTTAATGCATGGAACTACTTGAAATGCAGATATTAGTTCAAATCACATATTGCTTTTAGTACAAAAATGAAAATGTTTATGGTGCCATTAATATGAAACATACAATCTGTGAACTGTAGGCATGTCATGGACAGATGTGTCACCTCAAAATCTGGGCAAAAGCCATGAAGTGAAATCTTAATCATATCCAAAATCTCATCTTTACTTTTCTCCTGGAACCTCCCTGCAAACCCTTCTGGCTTCCCTCCCTTGCTGGGACTTTATCAAGATAAAAGATTCAGCCAGTGTGGATGGTCAGTTTGCACATCTTTGCTGTCTGTTTTGGTGCATGGAACTACTCAAAATGCAGACATTAGTTCAAATCACATATTGCTTCTAGTACAAAAATGAAAATCTTTATGGTGCCATTAATATGAAACGTGCAATCTTTGAACTGTAGGCATGTCATGGACTAATTTTTATTTGTTGCAACCTCAAGCAGGTAAGGTTTTGACCAGGTATGTCACTGTCACTGTTATTTTTTCTGGAAAAATCCTCTTGCCCAGGATTTTCTCCTGGGAAGCTGAGAAGCCTCAGAGAAAAAGGAAAACAATAATTATCTCATTTGCTTCTCCTGTGTTTTGCTGCTTTGGAATGTGGTTGGAGATTGTTTATCCAACATGAGAATTGTTTTGACTTAATGACCAATCACCATCAGGCTGTGTCAGGACTCTGGAAAGTTTCCATTATCATTCTTATTAAACCTTCTGTCTGTATCCTTTCTCTATTCTTTAGTATAGTTTTAATATAACATTAATATAACATTAATATAATATAATATAATATAATATAATATAATATAATATAATATAATATAATATAATATAATATAATATAAATCAGCCCTCTAAGAAAACAGATTCAGATTCTCAATTCCTCCTTCGTCCTGGGCAAATATGTCACCTCAGAATCTGGGCAAAAGCCATGAAGTGAAATCTTAATCATATCCCAAATCTCATCTTTACTGTTCTCCTGGCTGGGCTGTGGGGTGGCCTGAGCAGAGTTTCCACCTGTCAGAGCCTCCTGTCACCATCCAGGGGTGACTTCATGGTCCATCTCAGATGGGGAAACAGCAGGAATCCCCAGGAAAGGGGGGAAGCCAGGTGGAGGATAGGGATAACCTAACCCTAACCTGCAGCTGCAGTTCCATTCCAGAATTAGGAGTCTCCTTGAGCCAGGTCTCATAAGCTCTTGGAGATCTATTTCACACCCAAGATAGCTCAGCTACCTTTGGAGGCAGAAAATCAGCAGGATGGCTTCTGTGGCAGTGTTGGAAACAAAAAGGTTTTAATAAAAGGCAAAATAACAAACAGAAAAACTGAGCCAGGTGCAGGAGGTTCTCGCTCTTGGTAAAACACCTCATAAAAGTGATTGGTTTCTTTGTTCTCTTCTTTTTCTAGTGAATTTCCCAGGTGGGATCTTTTGGCTCCTGTCCAATTGGTCTCCTTAAGTTTGAGGTGAAGCCCCCCAGGTCCTATGAGGTGGCTTTTTACCTGATTGAGGAGAGAAACTTCTGGGCTTATTTCCTTTTTGAGGGGACAAAGGAGAGTTTTGTCACTCCATCAACAAGGGGCACATTCCTACACATTTCCCCCATCCCAAATTATCCCCCCAATCCTGGAAGAGGCATTGCTTTCTGTAGGATATCCCTCAGGGGTGGCAATGAACTGCTGAGAGTGTGGCTTAGCCCAGGAGCCACAGCTGTAGCCCTCACCTCCTGCCTGGGAAGCACCCAAAACCAACCATCCATCAATCTCCAGCTCATTTCCAGCAGGGACCCCCTCAGCAACCCCCTCCTGCTGCCATGCCTGTGGCACTGGAGCCCAAAGCAGGTTGGAGGGATGTGGCAGTCACGTTTTCTGAAAAATCCCTTCGCTAGGATTCTTCTCCTAGGAAGATGAGACGCCTCAGAGAAAAAGGAAAACAATATTATCTGATTGCTTCTCCTGTGTTTTGCTGCTTTGGAATGTGGTTGGAGAGTTTATCCAACTGGTGATTGTTTGATTGTTTTCATGTGAGTTGTTTTGACTCATTGACCAATCAGGGCCAGGCAGTGCCAAGGCTTTGGAAAGAGTCACGAGTTTTCATTATTATCTTTTTAGCATTCTGTAAGTATCCTTTCTGTATTCTTTAGTATAGTATTCTTTTATATAGTATAGTATCTTAAAATAATAAATTAGCCTTCTGAGAACATGGAGTCAGATTCATCGTTCCTTCCTTTGTCTGGGAAGCCTGCAAATACAACACCACAGCTTCTCCACAGCTTCCCAGGATTTTTCTGGGAAAGTCTGTGCCTGCTCTCTGATGCCACAATGGTGCTTTCACCAATGGCCTGCCTGGAGGAGAACCACCAACAGCATGTGTCACTGTCATATTTTCTGAAAAATCCCTTCACCAGGATTTTTCTCCTGGGAAGCTGAGAAGCCTCTGAGAAGAATGAAAACAATATTACTTCATTTGCTTCTCCTGTTTTGCTGCATTGGAATGTGGTTGAAGTTTGTTTATCCAAGAGATGATTGTTTAATTAGTTTCATGTGAATTGTTTTGACTTAATGACCAATCAGGGTCAGGCTGTGTCAAGGCTCTGGAAAGAGTCAGGAGTTTTCATTATTATCTTTTTAGCCTTCTGTAAGTATCCTTTCTGTATTCTTTAGTACAGTTTTAGTATAGCATTTTTTAATATAATATAATATAATATAATATAATATAATATAATATAATATAATATAATATAATATAATATAATATAATAATAAATTAGTCTTCTGAGAACATGGAGTCAGATTCATCGTTCCTTGCTTTGTCTGGGAACCCTGCAAATACAACACCACAGCTTCTCCACAGCTTCCCAGGATTTTTCTGGGAAAGTCTGTGCCTGCTCTCTGATGCCACAATGGTGCTTTCACCAATGGCCTGCCTGGAGGAGAACCACCAACAGCATGTGTCACTGTCATGTTTTCTGAAAAATCGCTTCACCAGGATTTTTCTCCTGGGAAGCTGAGAAGCCTCAGAGAAAAATGAAAACAATATTATCTGATTGCTTCTCCTGTGTTTTGCTGCTTTGGAATATGGTCTGGAGATTGTTTATCCAACAGGTGATTGTTTGATTGTTTTCATGTGAGTTGTTTTGACTTAATGACCAATTGGGGCTGAGCTGTGTCAGACTCTGGAAAGAGTCATGAGATTCACGACTTCTTTTAGCCTTCTGTAAGTATCCTTTCTGTATTCTTCAGTATAGCATTCTTTAATACAATATAGTATCATAAAATAATAAATTAGCTTTCTGAGAACATAGAGTCAGATGCATCATTCCTTCCTTCATCTGGGAACCTCACAAATACAAGAGAGGGATCTCACAGGGATCCCCACTCCCTGCAGAGGCCAAACACAGCAGGGATGGTGAGTGATGAACAGCAGAGTGGCAAGCAGATTAAGCAGATTGTTTCTTTTTTTTTTAATTTTTTTTTTATTAGACTAGGAAATATAATTTATTGCATAAAAATTAATTTGTTACAATAGGAATGCTAAACTTTATTTACAGTTCTTTAGTTTACAGAATAAACAGATGAGGGTTTAGAGGATGCCGCCGGGCCCATCCCCTGGACATATAAATATGGAAACAAGTTTTGGGGCAAGAGATGGACACTGCCAGACCACAGGGCTGCCTTGGCCAGAATGCCTTGCTGGAGAAACCCCTGGGAGGTGTGGAGGAGCTGGCACCCATGGGAAATGGAGGCAAACCCTGCATCCCCCCCTGCCCTGCCCTGCTCCTGTTGCAGGTTCCCTGGTCAGAAAAACGGGGAGCAGCTCCCCAAAGATGCACTTCAGCCAAGCCAGGTGGCTGCTGCCTGCCCAAAGGAAGGGGAACAGAGATGGAGGGGGATGGAGAGAGGCACCTGTGGGCAGGATGGACAGACAGACACACGCACATCCCAGCACAGTGATCTGTAAAGCAGAGAATGGAAGTGAGAGAGATTCCAAGGGGACCTGAAAGAGCTTCTCATCCCTCAGAGAGCCCCATGGAACTGAGACAGGGGCCCTCGAGAGCACGGGCAGCTGGATTGATCCACTGAGTGTTTATTGCTCTCCAAATTTGCTTTTTCTTCCTTAGCCCAGAGGGTCTCAGAATTGGTCAATGCAACCCAAAGGATGGATAAATCCCTTCCCATGTGACACAGGAGCTCTCCCAGCAGCAGTTTTCCCACCCAGCACAAGGGGAAAAGATCCCTTCTCTCCCACAGCCTTGAAAACCCAGCAAGAAGTGAACCCCAGGGACCCCGAGACACAGCAGGGAGCAGCTCAAAGCTTTCCAGCAGGGCCTCAGGGGCTGCCCACAGGAATCCTGTCATGTCCCAGCAATACTGAAAGCTCCTCCTGAGCTGCCCTGTGCAGGTGATGCTCTCCAGGCTCCCTGGGTGTGCTTCTGTGCCCAGCACTGTGTGGGATGGCACAGGCACTCCAGGACACTGCAGCCCAGAGCAGGACATGCTCCTAATACTTCCACAGATGGAGAATCCACAGCCTGGCCATGTGACCTAGTCTAATCCTGAGCTTACCACCCCCTTCCTATTTTTGTATTTTTTTTTTAACAGACAAATTTCTAAGATACAGGACACTGCAGCCCAGAGCAGGACATGCTCCTAATACTTCCACAGATGGAGAATCCACAGCCTGGCCATGTGACCTAGTCTAATCCTGAGCTTACCACCCCCTTCCTATTTTTGTATTTTTTTTTTAACAGACAAATTTCTAAGATACAGCACTCAGTGAGTAACTATTTCTACCTGCAGGCAGCCTAAATTTTTTACCTTCATCAAGACACCGTATCTGTGTGAGGAACCTTGGTCCTGCCTACCACTGGATTACTTTCCACTCACCCCACAGCTTCCCCATTGCAATAAAAGCCCTGTTCCAGGGAAAAGCAGGAGCTGCAGTGAGGGGGAAAACCTGAGCACTCCTCATGTGAAAATGCCCAGCCTGGTTGGCAGCTTGGGAATACCAGAGTACCCCTCCCTGAATCTGGGCTGGAATACTGCATCAAAATCCAGGCAGGAGCACAGGGACCTGAAGTGGAGGCAGCTTGAAGTGGCCACATCCCAGCCCACCAGCCCCTGCTCTCCCCTGACCCCTCCACACCTCCTCATCACCTCCCTCTGAGCCCCAAGCCCAGGTTTGGGGTGCTCACTGCAAAATCCTGCTGCCTTTACAACATCCTCCCCTTTAGCCTCGAGTCCAGAGGTTGGTGCAGGACTGAAATCTTTGGTTTGTACTGAACTTGTGTAAATGAAGGCGTAGCCATCCTAAAAAGCTCCCCCAAACCATGCCAGGGAAGAATTCATTAAAAATACCCAGATCTGGATGCACTCTGCCCACCCTGAACCCTAAATCCAGGGCAGCATCCCTCATCCCTCCTTGCAGGTGGAGTGGGACCCGTCATTCCCACTGCCAGGGAAAAGGGAGTTTGCAAGGACAAAAGCCTTGGGAAGGGTCTGAGCTGGCCCTGAAGCAGAGGGGTGGAGAGGCACTTCAACCTCTGGACTCCCTGGGGGTCCCAGGACATGTAAACATGCTTTTCTCCACTTGGATCACACGCTTTTCCCTACAAAAGTGTGTCCATTGAAATCTCTCTCTCTGCCACCCCAACCACAGCGACGCTCTTGCTCTCACACACCAAAAAAAAAAAATTATAAATCTTTTTTTTTTCTTTTTTTTTCTATTTTTTTTTTTTAAAAAGGACACATCCAAAGATCTGGATAATAAATTATTTGCGTTTCCTAAGAAACTTTTTTTTTTCCTTTTTTTCTTTCCTATTTGCCTCGTTAAGCTGCCTAAAGCCTTTGACAGAAGTTAAGCCTGGATTGTACTCATCTCTTCCACGCAGAAATGCTATTAAAGGAGGAGGAAGGGAACCCAAAAAGAAGAAGGAAAAGGAAAGCCCCCATCCCAACTCGAGAAGCCCTAATTCCTCCCCGTGCCACGAGGAGGAGGAGGAGGAGGAATGCTGTGTAACACTTGGATTGCTTGTAAACGCTGAGGATGGGTCTCTAAGGCTGCCAGTGGTGCGGGAGAAGCGCCCTCCCCGCTCAGGACGGATGTGCCTCCCCCTGCCATGGGGGGAGGACCCTTCCTCAGCCCCTGTTTCGTCCTCCTGGCCCCCCAGGCGTGGGGAGCACCATCAGCAGTCCCCCTCTGTGGCCATGACCACCAGCATCTCGCTCTTGCCCATCTCCTCTAAGGCACTGGCCAGGGTGTTGAGGTCGCCGTCGTCCTGGTGCTCGGCTTCCCACAAGTCCAGGAGCACCCCCGTGGGGCTGGCTTTGGTGGCAAAGTAGTTCAGATACCTGCAAGGGAGAAGCAGAGGACAGGGTTGGGCTGCTGTGGTGCCCCTTTGGAGGTGGCAGGAGGGAGGATGCTGCACTGTCACAGACATCTTTTATGGAAAATCCTTTCCTTAGGATTTTTCCTCCTGAGAAGCTGAGAGGCCTCAGGAACAAAATGTAAACAATGGTTATCTGCTGCTGTGGAATGCAACAGGTGCATCTGGGATTAGTCTCATATAGTTGTTTCTAATTAATAGCCAGTTACAGTCCAGCTGTCTCAGACTCTCTTGAGAGACACAAGCTTTTGTTATACATTCCATTCTTTACCTTTCTCTTCAAGCCTTCTGATGAAATCCTTTCTTCTATTCTTTTAGTATAATTTTAATATAATATATATCATAAAATAATAAATCAAGCCTTCTAAGACATAGAGTCAGATTCTCGTCTCTTCCCTCTTCCTGATACCCCTGTGAACACCACCACAATGGACCTGTTTGGAACATGAACTTGGATGGAAATGCTGTAATGTAAATGCCAAAGCCCTCCAGAGAATGTCTGCAGTTTTTAGACAGAGCTGGTATTCGTGCAAAAGCAATGGAACGTTTGCTTTGGTGAAATGACCCCTTCTCCCTTTGGTCCTGGGGTGAAACCAGGTGGGAACGGCACAGCCATTGTCCCAGATAAACAAGGGCCATTCAAAGTAACAGGAGACACAGGACTGTGGCACGGATGGATGCCAGAATTGTTTGGGTTGGAAGGGACCTTCAAGATCATCTAGTTCCAACCTTCCTGCCATGGGCAGGGACACCTTCCATTATCCCAGGGTGCTCCAAGCCCTCTCCAACCTGGATTTGAACACTTCCAGGGATGGGGCAGCTTCTCTGGGCACCTGTGCAAGGGCCTCACCACCCCCAGGGGAAGAATTTCTTCCCAATATCTCATCTAAACCTTGCCTCTTTTAAAATTTAAAATTGTGCCCAAGAATAGAGATGGATATAACTGTGCAGAGCTATGTCCCCATTTATGGATGCACCTATACAGCAGGACACAACCCCATGGATGTCTACAGCTGGCAGGGAGCACAGAGTGAAGCCTCCCAGCTGGGGGCACAGGAGGGGAAAGCAAAGCCTGGGGACACTCACCGGTCCATGGAAAGCTTCTGGGCGAGAAGTCTCCAGTCATTGCCCCTGGAGTTGGGAGCATCCAGGCTGTTGCAGATCTTCTGCCGGATGGAGAGGGGGATTTTGAAGGCGTAGGGTCCCACCTGGGTGGTGGAGGCAGTGGTGGCACCGCTGTGGTGGGAGCGGAGGGTGTCGGAGGAGCTGCCGTGCTGGAAGAGGAAGGACAGGGTGAGATGTTGGTGAAACGTCCCAGCGTGTCCCAGGCTGTCCCCTCACCTCCCCTCCCCTCTGCTCACCTCTCCCAGCGTGACGTGGAGCTGGAAGATCTGCCCCTCCCCTTCCACCTGCCGGACGCAGATCTTGCAGGTGAGCTCGGTGGAGGCCTGGCTGTACCTCTCCAGGGTGAAGGTGCAGTGCAGAGCTCGCTGGCTGCCACTCCAGATGTGGTAGAAGGGGATTTCCTGTGGGCCACCAAAGCAAGGGCTCAGCCAAGGCTCCAGCAGCTCCCACCTCCTTCAGCCACCCCATGAGGGGTGAGGTGGGACAGCAGGACCTTGTGGGAATCCATAAAATCAGAGGGTTTTGGGAAAGCTGCAAAAGCCCCAGAGACAGCAGAACTGTGACTGGAGCTAAGCAGCAGCCATGAGATTGGTCAGCAGAAAAATTATATAAGAAGTAGAAAAGTAAGGACTATATAAATATATAAATAGAGCAATGGTCTGTGTATTAATGCTTGTCTAGAATAACTCTCTAAGCTACAGAAAAGTTTATCTAGCAAGATATTAGGAAGTTTGAAGCTTAATAATGGAGCTCTGTGCATTGTGTTTTAAGGCTTACAAGCAGGCATTGTATTTGAAATGAGCAAGGTTGTTTTAAAGAAAGATTCGTGTGCTTACAGTAGTTGGATAGAACCACTGTCAATGTGCTTTTGCTTTGTGTGATTGGTCAAAAGAGTTTTAAAGTGAGTTGTAACATTAAGTTCTTGGTCTGCTGCCTGGGATGTGAGCTGGTGGCATCTTCCCATTGTCATAACCATGGAATGAGACTGATGCTGGAAAATCAAACAGCTCAAGGCACGTTCCCAGCAGTCCTGTCCCGTTTGTGATTTGTACATGGCCAGTGAGAGACCTCACAGAGAGCATCCCACCAAAAAGAGCAGAAAACTGATCCCCTTCCTCCTCTGTCCTTTTGGGAGACAAGTCAGCACCTCCAATGCCTGGCTGAGATGGAGCTCCCAGCCTGGGAGGCCAGCTGCCCCCAGGTCAGCCCCTCACCTGGTACTTGGCCAGCAGTTTGCTCCTCCACAGCGCGTGGGGGATGTCGTGGATGGAGAGGCGCAGGTTGTGGTAGCTGTCCTTGAAGGGCAGGGGCTTGGGCTCCTCCAGCAGGTACCCTCCCAGTGTCCTCTCCAGCTCCAGCACCTCCTGTGGGCACCAGGACAGGCAGGGTGAGAGCCAGGAGAAGGGCAGGGGCTGCTCCTCTGCCCAGCTCCATGCTCAAAGCCATGATGGAGAGGGGAGAGGAGTTGCCAAGAAGAGCCAGCATGGAGAACAGCTTTTGCCACCCCAACAGAACCTGCCAGCTCATCTCATACACCAGCCCCACCTAAAACTTGAATTTCCTAATGTGAGCATCCATAAATGATTCCTTGGAGAACACAAAGCTCCAGCACAAGGCTCAGGCACTCCTGACCTGACTCCTGCCACTCTATCTGCTTTTAACACCATCCCTTCCAAACAGCAGCAGCTTTTAGGAGAAAAAGACAAAGCCAGGAGCCACAGCCCTGCCTACATCCCCACCTAGAGGCACCACATCAATCCCAACAGGATGCACTGGACAAGTCACAGGGAACCAAAGAGCGCCAGCACTGGTGGGTCCAGGCAGCCAAAGCACCCAAATTGCAGCCTCCTGTGATGCACTCAATGCTATCTATGCCACAAAACCTGTCACACACATCTTTTATGGAAAATCCTTTCCTTAGGATTTTTTCTCCTGAGAAGCTGAGAGGCCTCAGGAACAAAATGTACCCAATGGTTATCTGCTGCTGTGGAATGCAACAGGTGCATCTGGGATTGGTCTCATGTGGTTGTTTCTAATTAATGGCCAATCACAGCCCAGATGCCTCAGACTCTCTGTCCAAGACACAAGCCTTTGTTATCATTCTTTCTTTTTCTATTCTTAGCTAGCCTTGTGATGAAATCTTTTCTTCTATTCTTTTAGTATAGTTTTAATATAATGTATATCATAAAATAATAAATCTGCCTTCTGAAACATGGAGTCAACATTCTAGTCTCTTCCCTCATCCTTGGACCCCTGTGAACACGGTCACAAAAACCCTTCCAGGCCAGGGAGAGACATGGATCCCTGCAGGATCTATAAAAAAACCTGCCCATCAGCAGCCAAACCTCTGGTGTAATGCCTGCAGGAGGGGTCCCAGCAGAGGAGCTACACAACACCCTCCCTGTTTCCTTCAGAGAGGACAAGGAAGGACAGACAAAGCTGTAAACACCTCATTATTTCACTGTGGTCACTTTGCAGGCAGTTGCATCAGGTTGGCTGCTCCCCAGGGCTAGGCCACCCTGAGAGGCACCAGGCAGCATCCTGCTGCCAGCACAAACAGCTTTGGGAAGGGGATATTTACCTTCAGAGCATCTGGCGTGTCCTCCAAGCAGTAGACCTTGAGGCTGTACTCCAGGGAGGTGCAGACAGTGGGGGCAAAGATGGCCAGCTGGAGCCTCTTGATGGCTGACCTGGAGTAGGACTCCCCCACAAAGACATAGGTGCCAAGCTGGTCCAGCAGAATGTGGCAGGACTTGGCTTCCAGCTGGCAGTAGCAGGGAGTGTTGAGGGTCTCCTCATCCAGGGTCACAACTTCCTACAGAGATGTCACAGACAACTCTTATGAAAAATCTTTTTCTTAAGATTTTTCCTCCTGAGAAGCTGAGAGGCCTCAGGAACAAAATGTAACCAATGGTTATCTGCTGCTGTGGAATGCAACAGGTGCATCTGGGATTGGCCCATGTTAGATATTTGTAATTAATGGCCAATCACAACCCAGCTGGCTCGGACACAGAGCCTGAGCCACAAACCTTTGTTATCATTCCTTCCTATTCTATTCTTAGCCAGCCTTCTGATGAAATCCTTTCTTCTATTCTTTTAGTATAGTTTTAATGTAATATATATCATAAAATAATAAATCAGCCTTCTGAAACATGGAGTCAGATCCTCATCTCTTCCCTCATCCAAGAACCCCTGTGAACACCACCACACAGAGACACCAAGACTGAGGGATGTTGAGGGATGTCAGCCCATCATCCAAGGGGTTGTGCCTGTCCCCCAGGGTCTCTGCTGGCTGCAGGGCCTGGCTTGCCCCCTTACCTCCCAGTTTCCCTGGTGGGACTGTGTTTTCAGGTGGTAGATCCAGTCCGAGGAGCCGACGTCGGCGCAGTGGGGAATGGTCAGGACAACGGGGCGGCACAGGAGCAGGCCCGTGGGCCCACAGGTCACTGCAGGGCTCAGCACGGTCTGTGTGCCCTCAGAGGGCAGCCTGGGGAGGGACAGGGGACACAGGTTGGACAGGGAACTCCCTGGTGGCCAGCGAGGAGGGTGGGTGGCCAGCGGGGTGACTTACAGGGCGGTCTCAGCCTTGTTGAGCACCAGGTACATCTCGTAGAACTTCCCCTGGGGGATGGCCCCGTGGGGCACCAGCAGGCTCACCCCTGGAATGACACACACAGGGCTCAGTCACGGGGAATGAGGGAGAAACCACCCTCCACCCCAGCCAGAGAGCACAAGGAGAGCAGGGAGCCAGGGCAGCACAGAGAGGAACACCTCCAGGTCACAGAATCATGGAATGCTTTGGCTTGGAAGGGACCTTAAAGATCACCCGTTTCCACCCCCCCTGCCTTGGGCAGGGACACCTTCCACTATGCCAGGCTGCTCCAAGCCTTGTCCATCTTGGCCTTTCACACTTCTGGGGATCCAGGGGCAGCCACAGCTTCTCTGGGCTGTCCCATGCTTGCAGGGATGAGCCAGGCCAAAGCTTTTTCTTCACTAGGAAGGAAAATCCTAATCTTTGTGGTTTTTTTGCAAGGTGCTAGCCCTTGGATCAATGGCAGAGAAAGACCAAGGCAAGCCCAAGGAGGCTGTAACCTCCAGCCTGAGATGCCTGGCTTGGGAATGGCTTTCTGCCTTCCTTCCCTGAGCCACGTTTGGGACAGCAAAGGGCTGCTCAAGCAGGGACAAGATGATGGTCCAGCAGCCACACAATCCCAGCCAGCAGCTTACCTGTGCCTGGCACGGTGAGCCTTCCCCCCAGGTAGCCAAATGTGCCACTGGCACTGTAGCCATGCTCCCGGGGCAGGCTGAGGAGGTGCTGGGAGCCCAGGCCTTTGCTCCTCACGTTGGCAAAGTGGCCGTCCCTGGCCATGTCCCCCGGGTAGGTGCCGGTGGCAGGGACCCCTCCCAGCAGGTCTGTGTCATCGTGCAGCCCTGGTGAGGAGGAGGAGGCGGTGGAGGAGTTGTAGACCTTGATCTTGAGGCTGGGCAGGGGGTCCAGCAGGGGGGAGTTGGTCATGGGGATCTTGTCAGAGGAGTCCTGCAGGGCGTACATGGGGCCGCGGTACACGCCCGCGCTGGCCGTCAGGTCCGGCTGCATGGACGGGTGCAGCAGCTGAGGGTTGTCTGCAGAGGCAGCAAACACAGGTAGGGGATGAGGACAGAGGTGGAAACAAGGACTTGGAGAAGTCCTGCTTGAGTGGGAGACATCCCAGAATCATTTGGGTTGGATGGGACCTTCTCATCTCATTCCAAACCCCTGCCATGGGGCACCAGAGCAAGCTGGTGCAGCAGCTGAGGGTTGTCTGCAGGGGCAGCAAACACAGGTGGGATGAAGACAGCAGTGGAAAGGGCATGGAAATGTATTGCTTGAATGGGAGACATCCCAGAATGGTTTGGCTTGGATGGGACCTTCAAAACCATCTCATTTCAAAACCCTGCCATGGGGCACCAGACCAAGCTGCCCTGATTCCCACCATCAACACCTGACCACTTCCACTGCAGCCTTCAAAAATCAGTATATTCCCTCAGGAAAAAGGGACTGGGAGCCCAGTGAGGATCCACTCTCTCCTGTGACTTTGTTTCTGCTAGCCCTAAGGCTGGTGAGGACCTCCATGGCTCTTACCATGCCGAGATGTCTTGAAGTTGACGGGGTGGAAGCCTCCGGTCAGCGCGGCCGAGGAGTCGGTGATGTCCGTGTCGAAATCGCGGCGTCTCCTCCGGTACACCACCACCCCCACGGCCATGAGGATCACGATGAAGACAAAAATGGCCACCACCAGCCCCGCGTACAGGGCCACATCGCCCGTGGCCTCCAGCACTGAGGGGGATTAAAGACATGGAGGTGAGAAAAGGGACAGCAGAAAAGTGCGTCAGGACCCGCCATCGCTCCCCAGTCCCACCACTGACTCAGGCATGGGTGGAAGGACGTGCCCTGGGCCTGCTGGAAAGGCTGGCAAGAGGATGGAAAGTGTTTTCTAAGAGTAGGAAGTCAAGAGCAATGCCAGAGAATGAGATGGAGGTGAAGCCCTCAGACCTTTGGAGGACACCTGGCTACAGCTTGTGCAAACTTCATCTGAGCACCAAGGGTCCCAGAAACTCTGGGTTTGTGCAGCTCAGGTTCATGAAGCTGTGAGCAACCCTCAGATCCTAACAGAGACAACCCTGAGGAGCCCACAGGAGTTTTGGAGTGGGCTTTAGTTGTTCCATCTTCCCACCCTGTCCTCGCCCAGCTGCGAGGGAATCCCTGCTATGGATTAAACAGAACAAAAGCACAGGAACAAACAAAAAAGAATGGCCATGAAATGAGCACTTACGGTGGCTTTTGGGCTCGTTTAGAATTCTTTTATCTGTTAGGAAAAACAAAGTTAGAAAAGAAAAAGGTGAAGGTGATGATGGGGATGAGATGAAACAGAAAGTGGGAGGTAAGCCAGCCCAGGGTGGGGGGTGTGGGAGATCAACATCATTCCCTGGGGCATTCCCAAAACCCACATAGAAGCATGGTGACAAGGACATCCCCCTGCCCAGGCAGTAAAGGGGACAGTGGTGTCACACAGCAGCAGGTGGCAGCATTGGCTGCCTGCAGCATGCCCACTCACAGGTAGCAGCATCATTACCATCATTATAGATTTATTTCTCAAAAACCACCTCCAGAACTCCCAGCTGTGAGCCAGGGGAGCTGTTTTCATGGTGTGGCTGAGAAACCCCTCCTGTTTCCCTGCCTACCCACAACCAGCTTTATTCCAGCAGAGACCCCACACCTACAGGGCTGGGACAGGGGCCTCAATGCCAGCAGCACATTTAGATCCCCCAAACTCCCTAGTATCTCTTCCTCCAAGTAAGAAATAACTCTGGAAGGGACAAATCTGCTTAAAAACACCTTTTTAAAGGTGTTTTCAGTTACCACTTAAAGCTCAGGCGGCAACGGCTGCTCCATCAGCTTGGAGGCACAGCCAACAAAGCGTGGCCAATGTCAGAGCACCACAGCCAGAGTGGCATCTCTGTGGCACGTCCCCATGGCCGTAGGGACCCTCCTGGGTACTCACTGTGCAGGCAGAGGCCGTCAGTGCAGTTTTTGGAGTCCAGCAGCACCCCGCTGCAGTCCTTGCCGCCGTTGCGGGGTGCGGGGGCCGCGCACTCGCGGCTGCGCCAGTGGGTGCACTCGGTGCTGCACGCTGACCACTTGCTCCACTCTGTCCAGGCACCATCCACTGCAGGCACAGACACAGCAGGGTCAGCAAAACCTTCCCACTTTAGGGAGTGTTATCCCAATGCTCCTAAAGACCAGCTTGTGCCAACCCCCTGCCATTTGGCAGTGGCACCTTCCACTATCCCAGGGTGCTCCAAGCCCCGTTCAACCACTGACCACTTGCTCCACTCTGTCCACTTGCCATCCACTGCAGGCACTGGACACAGTGGGGTCAGTAAAACCTTCCCACTTTGGGAAGTGTTATCCCAGTGCTCCTTAAGAGCAGCTTGTGCCAACCCCCTGCCACGGGCAGGGACACCTTCCACCAACTCAGGCTGCTCCAAGCCTCATTGAACCACTAACTGCTTGCTCCATTCCGTCCACACGCCGTCCACTGCAGGGTCAGCAAAACCTTCCCACTTTGGGGAGTGTTATCCCAGTGCTCCTAAAGAGCAGCTTGTTCCAACCCCCTGCCCCCTTCCACCATCCCAGGCTGCTCCAAGCCCCATCCAACCTGGCCTTGGGCACTGCCAGGGATCCAGCGGAAGCCACAGCTGCTCTGGGCAACCTATGCCAGGGCCTCCCCACCCTCAGAGGGAAGAATTTCTTCCCAATATCCCATCTAATCCTGCCCTGTGAAGCCATTCTGAATCCTGTCTGTTGAAGCCATTCTCTGTTCTGCTGCCACTCCAGGCCCCTGTAAATAAACTCTCTCCATGTTCCTTGTAGGCTCCCTTGAGGTACTGGAAGGTTGCAATGAGGTCACCTCAGAGCCCTCTCTGGTCCAGGCTGAACAATCCCAACAATCCCAACCACAGCCTAGGGCACAGGCAGCGTGGGCATGGCAGTCTCTGAGCCCTGCTCACCTGGGCAGAGGGTGGTGCAGGTGATTTTCTGGAAGGGCTGCCCATCGCAGAAGGAGCCGCCGTTGAGGGGCGCGGGGTTGGTGCAGGTCCGCGTGCGCTTCTGCCAGCCCCGGCCACAGCGGTTGTTGCACGGAGACCACTCGGACCAGGTGGACCAGCCACCATTCACTGCAGAGGAGAGGGGCAGAATCAAATCTGGAGCCCAATCCATCAGCTAAGCCTCGGGCTGGAGCTAAGCCTCAAGTTCTTACACCTTCTGTGACGCCCTGTTACAGCTCAGCCTCGTGAACAGCAAACCACAAAACTCCCTCTTGTGTCACCACCTGGTGCCCGAGATGCTCAAGACTGCTTTGGTCCTTTTTGCACTTGGCAAATATTTTTTGTGTCTGGCCCTGAGGAGATCTTTGATTTCATAGCAAAGTGCAGCCAAATACAGCTTTCCAGCTGCTTTGAGAGTCAGAGCAATCCATATGGATCCAACCTCCATCCACTCTCCTACCTATCGCAGACAACTTTTATGAAAAATCCTTTCCTTAGGATTTTTCCTCCTGAGAAGCTGAGAGGCCTCAAGAACAAAATGTAAACATTAATAATCTGCTGCTGTGGAATGCAACAGGTAGATCTTTGATTGGCCCATGTTGGATGTTTGTAATTAATGGCCAATCACAGCCCAGGTGGCTCGGACACAGAGCCTGAGCCACAAACCTTTGTTATCATTCCTTCCTATTCTATTCTTAGCCAGCCTTCTGATGAAATCCTTGCTTCTATTATTTTAGTATAGTTTTAATGTAATATATACTATAAAATAATAAATCAAGCCTTCTGAAACATGGAGTCAGATCCTCATCTCTTCCCCCAACCTAAGACCCCTGTGAACACGGTCACACCCACCCAGTTGAGAAACACCTCCACCCCTCCACCTCAAACCTCTCCTTACTGCCTTAGAAGCCACTAGAGGCTCCTGTTCTGCAGATATTGGTTATATCACCTAACACCATGCACTAATTGACTCCTACCACTCCCAGGAAATGCCCATAATGCCCCTTGGCTTGGGGACACAGCCAGCACCACAGGTCCCCTTGCGGGCCGGTACCGTAGACGATGACAGCGGCCGTGGTGCTCCGGCGCTTGGCCACGATGTTCTTGGCCATGCAGGTGTAGTTGGCAGTGTCCAGCAGCCGGGCCTGCTTGATGATCAGGTTGTGATCAATGGTGATCAGGAAATTGGTGTCTTGGCTGGGATCAATGACGTCCTCGTTCCTCAGCCACTCCACCTGGCACGAAAGGAAAGGATGGGGATTAAGCCATCACCAAGACCAAAGATGTCCTCAGCACTTTAACCATTGAGTGGACAACCCTGCCTCTGACTGGATTTATTTCTCCTGAAAAATGGGGCCAAACTAGGCCTGACTGGGGCATGCTACTGGTGATTTGGCCAAGGATGAGACACTGTGGCTCCCTCCAACACACAGCTAGCTCCCAGCAGCTGATGGAGCTGCGGGCAAGGAAAGCTCCACTACCATGGTAGGAAAACCAATCCAAACTGATCTTCCCAGCCCTCAGCTCCCACTGGTGACTGCTCCCAACCAGACAACTCCCTGGGTGCCTACTTGTCAGATCTTCCCTCTGAGGCACCTCAGGAAGCGTGGGAGAGGGTGCTGCCCAAAATAAACCATTCTGCTGAATGAGAGTTGACAGGAGATGGGATGGGATGGGATGGGATGGGATGGGATGGGATGGGATGGGATGGGATGGGATGGGATACCCCACATGTATTCCTTCAGGAGCCACTCACCTCAGCCTGTGGGACCCCCTCAGGTGGGCGGCACTGCAGCAGCACCTCGTGCTCCAGTGGCACCTCCTTGCCCAGAGGCTCCTGATCAAAGTTCTTCCGTAGGTCTGGGAGGGGAAGGAGAAGCCAGGGGTTAGCAGCCTGCAGCAGGAACAGGGCAGCCTCCAAAACTTTGGTGAGCACCTCAGCACCAAGCACACGCTGCTACAACTAGCCCCAGCACCCCATAGTAAGGGGAGGGGTTAGATGCAACTGCCAACCCCCCTAGAACAAAACACAGCCCTAAAAATAAAACAAATTCTACCATAGTCGACTTCCTCGTGTCAGGAAGTCCCTCTGGCATAGACAGCCAGGGCAAAACGTGCCCAGGGAGGAAGGAGCTGAAGGACCATGTTTTCCAGGATGGATTTGGGGCAGCACATGGTGGATGATACACTTCCTCCTTCATGTGCATGAAAGCTTATACCCCATCCTGTGTTTTCTTTTTGGGGCTAAGCTCAGCTTATCCACTGTTTCTTCATCCCTCCCAGCAGAGCCCCTCAGGATGTGGGGGACACAGCAGTGTCCTGCTCCAGAGCCTGGGAAGGAGCAGGAGCATCACTAGATGGTGCTGCAATCCCCTGCTACAGCTCCCAGACCTCTCTCTCCATGTGGTTCCTGAACTCTCTACTCCAAAAAACAAGAGGGAAGCGTTCAAGGCCAGACTCAAGGGGGTTTGGAGCAAGCTGGTCTAGAGGAGGGTGTCCCTCCCTATGGGATGGGGTTAAAATGAGGTCAGTTTTAAGCTCCCTTCCAACCCAAAACTTTCTGTGATTCTAGGGTTCTGTTAGTCTCTGGTTTTCCCAGCATAACCCTTCAGCAGCACAGCTGATCTGTTTTGGGTAACATGTTGAATTATTACCCCTCTAATAGCCAAATCCATTTGGGACCGGGCAAGCCTGGCTGTCCCCCCATAGCTCTGCCATCTCATCTGCTAATTGAGCAAATTCAGGCGTGCCCAGCCTGACTAACTGGCTCTTTGATCAGGCTGACACCCCCAGGAGCAGCTCAGGGCAGTGACATGTGACAGCAGGGACTGGGAGGACACGGAGTCGCTGAGCATGCAAGGTGCCATCCGTTGGGTTATTAAGGATAATAAACGTTGGGTTATTAAGGATAATAAAACCCTGGGAAGCGCTGAGCACGCTGCTGGGCACTGCAGCGTTAACCCTGCTAGTGCCACCACCCTGGCCAGTGGGCATGGTGACCCTCACAAAGCTACAGCTGGGGTGGGGACAGAAAGTCAGGGTCATCCAGCAGGGATGGGTCATCCCAAACTCATCAGAAAGTGGAGAAGGACATTTGGACCTGGCAAATGTGCCAGCTAGTGCCACTGCCTCACAGGTGGGGATGGTGACTCTCAGAAACAAAGCTACAGCTGGGGTGGGGACAGAAAACCAGGGTCATCCTAAACTCATCAGAAAGTGGAGAAGGGCATTTGGACCTGGCAAATGTGCCAGCTAGTGCCACCGCCCTGCAGGGAGGGATGGTGACTCTCACAAACAAAGCTACAGCTGGGGTGGGGTGAGAAAACCGGGGTCATCCTGCAGGGATGGGTCATCCCAAACTCATCAGAAAGTGGAGAAGGACATTTGGAAAAGGGAGTGATGCCTTGTAAGGCTGACCTAGAATAGAGGCCAGACAGAGTTAAAGGAAAAAGCAGGGATTTATTAACAGGCCTCCATGGATCCACCTTGGGCTGCACCCAAGACGAACCAAAATGGCCACAAAATGCACGGAGGTGACTTTTGTAAGTTCTGCTCCATTTGCCTATTAGAGTTAATTGTCCAATTACATCTTTAGCCCATGCAGTCCCATCCTCTCTTGTTTTTCTCTCTCCAACCCACGTTGTTTGTGCTCTTGGGCCTGAGATTTGGATCACTTGTCCTTGGTCCCCAGCTGGAGCAGGAATTGTTTTATCTCCCTGCTCTGTGCAGAGAGCTCACCATCCCCTCACAAGCAGCCCAGAATTACACACTGAAGCAGCACAGAAGGTGAGGAACACCGAAGCCCAGCCCTGAGGCCTGGGGCAGCACTTACAGGCGATGCGGACGTAGGCCCGGCGGCTCTTGGTGGTGCCGGCCGAGCTCCAGGCCACGCACTGGCACCAGTAATCCTCCAGGCCAAAGAGCTCCTCCACCTGCTGCCGGGACACCTCGATCTGCACCTCCCGCACCAGCAGCCCTGCAGGGACACAGAGACATGGCATCCAGGAGCAGGGAAACTGAGGCAGCACCCCACAGTAATCCCTCCATCCCTAAAGATGACAGTCGCTTGTAGCTGTTCTAATAAATCTCTTCCCAACGGAGCCGTCGGAGGATTGAGCAGATAAAAAAATTTGTGAGTGCCCCATTGTTTCCCAAAGGGGTTTCCAAAAATAAGCCTTTTCAGATTGGTCAGTGGCTCCTTGTACCATAATATAATCCTTTCCTCTCAGGAGTTTGCTGTTTATTGCAGCCCTGAGATATGTGAAAAGTCTCTGTTTCGGCCCACACGTTCGAAGAACTCTGATTTCTTCAGTTTTCAGTCTCAGAGTTGTTTATTATATCTTATCTATAAAAATTTTTCTCCTGTCCAGCTGAGGTCTGCTCAGCAGGACAGACAGAGGCACTCTGACTGGTCCCTGGGGCAGTGTTATCTCTTTATACTATAAACTATGTATAACATGTTTCCAATTACTTTCCAATACCTATCACCTATGTTAGACTTCTATTCTAAACCAATCCCAAAGTCCCAACATCACAGCAGAAGATGGAGGTGGAGAAGAAGAAGAAGAAAGGGTGGACACACCCAAGTCCCTCCATCTTGTCCCCAAAACCCCTATTTTAAAAATCCTAAAATCTACCTTTTCACCTAGTGATAACTTTATTATTACACTACTTAAATTTCTGTGGCTTTCAGGTCTTCATCTAAGCTTGGTAATTTGCTCCATGGGTCATAATCAAACCCACAGGTGTTCTGGGCTGTGTGCCAGGGTCTCTGAGACCCCTGACAGGGGTCCCAGCAACTCTGGACACCCAGAGGGATGTACTGAGTTTTGACACTTTCCCACAGGCACCAGGGTTTTATTCAATACTGAGTATGTTGGTCCTGTATCAACTAAAAATTTTACCCTCTTTCCTTCCTCCCCCAGCCTCATTGTTATAACCAGGGGATCCTCTGGGGTAGGATCTCCTGGTCCCCTCAATCCTCTTTGACACCATCCTTCTTCCCTTGTCCCTCCTCCATTTGACACATTCATTTTTCCAGTGCCCAAATTCTACACAATGCACATTGATCTTTGCCCAGTCAGGATGGACCTCCCTGGCTTCACCAACTTTGTCTTCCTCCTCCTTTCTCTGCCCTTACTACTGCCATAAATTTCTTCATATTCTGCTTATATGCTCCCTCCCTATTACTCTCCATGTCTCATCTACTAATTTTTCTAGGTTTCTTACATTGGGCCCTTTAAATTTCTCAAGTTTGCACCTAACATCCACTGTTGATTGACCCAAAAATGAATGTACTAGTTGTTGAATTCCCACATTTTGTCTAGGATCCAGAGTTTTACAGCGGCACATCGCGTCTCTCAATCATGTGCAAAGCTGGAGGACAGAGGCTTGGAGGCTTCTCCTCTGGGCTTGGCACCTCACAAACCAGGGAGACTTCCCTCTGAAGGATGGTTTGGGATGAAGCCAGGGCTATGGATCACGTGGAAGTGCCTCATTTTTCCCCCCTGTCCAGTTGAGCAGGAGCAGAATCTCTTCAGCATTTCTCAGGACATCACCCTCCTCCACCAGCTCCCTCCCACATCTTCCCAATATTCCAACATCCAAGCACCCCTTCCCACCCACCAGGGTTTGAGGGATGCTTTGTTGTGGGGAGAAACCTCCCCTGTCTGTGCCAAATACAAATATAACAAGACAAATATAAATATAACAAGACAAATAAAACCTTAAAGAAATCAGCCTGGCCATGGCAGGGGGGCCATGACAAAGGTGACACCACCACAACCAGGACATGTTCCCCTGCACTGCAGGAGCACCAATGACCATCAACAAGGGCAGGAGGGACTTGGGCTTTATTTTCCTTATTTTAAGCAATACCTGCCCATATTTTTTTTTTCAGTTTCTATTTTAAAAAGGCCTCAATTTCACAGTGATAGAGAGCCGCACGCTCCCCAGCTGTAATTTTGTTACAGCTCGCTCCCAGTGCTGTGAGGAGCAATTACTGTCTCCCTGCCACCTTCCTGCAGAAGAGCTGACAAGGAAATACAATTTATTTTGTCACTATTCAGGAGGAACAAAAAAAAAAAAAAAAAAAAGAAAGAACCACAACAAGAAAACCCCAAAAGCAAAGGTTTTGGGGCCAAGCAGTTTTGGGATTTTAAAAGGATTCAGAATGCAGATATGGCTGCAATCCATCTTGGGAAGCTCTGGTGGGATGAGCACCCTGGAAAAGTGGGAAGCATCCTGCAAATGCCCAACCTCTGTTCCCAAAATTGAAGACAGAGCTTGTGGCACACAGGAGTCACTTCCTAAGGGCTTCCAGGCACCCAAACAGAGCTGGCCTCCCCGCCCAGCCCTCCTCAGCCAGCTGAATTATCCTCTCTGACTTGGCCTATTTTTGCTTTCTTCCGCATGAAATGTTTTGGATCAGACGCAGTCAGAGCATTACTGAGCTAGGCTCATTCAAGACACGTCATCTTAAAAGTTCCTTTTTTTTTTTTTCCCTCCCTTCTTCTTCTTAAAGGTCCCTTTTTCCAAGCTTTTAGGCAAGGACAGTTAAAAACTAACCATGTTAACCCGTGCCTTTGTGCCCAGCTCTCCCCTGTGCTCTTTCCAGCAGCTTTCCCCAACAATGTCAGGCGCTGCAAATGCAGATTTTTTACCACCTTAAACCACTTTGGTTCCAGCTCCCTTTTCCTTAGGGAGGCTGCCAGGCAGAGATGCCCACACCAGCAGTTTTTAACATGCACCACATCACCTGCAGGCACTGCTGGTTCACTCCCTGATAGCAGCAATGCCATCTTTGAAGCCTGGATGAAGGAGGTGTGTGCTGCTTCCTCCCCACATTGCAGGCACACAGCGGGCTGGAATCTGAGAGGGAGATGCTGGACCAAAGCAAGTGAATTCCCACAGCAACAGATGGATGCCTCATCCCTGGGAGTGCTCCAGGCCAGGCTGGATGGAGCTTGGAACCACCTGGGCTAGTGGAGAATGTCCTTGCCCATGCCAGGGGGTTCGACTAGATCATCTTTAAGGTCTCTTACAACCCAAACCATTCCACGAGTCTATGAAATAAAGTTATTTTTTTCCACTCTGCACATCACTAAGGCATCCTACAGGATGCTCCAGAGAAATGAGCCCTAACAACCACCTGTTGGAGAAACAATCTCCAAACACATTCCACATGTGAGCACAACACAGGAGAAGCAAACGAGATAAGAATTTGTTTTCCTTTTTCTCTGAGGCTTCTCAGGAGAAAATCCTGGGCCAAGGGATTTTTTCAGAAAATATGACTGCCACACTGTGGGAAACTTAGAGGAAAAGACAATTAGACAAATTAACAAGGGGAGATTCCACCCAGGGCTGAATCACACTGCTCAGATGTTGCCACCAGAGCTGGGAGTGCCTGGTGGTGAGTGGTGGAAAGCTGGGAGGGTGACAGGGCAGCTCCATTGCTCCCTCCTTGTCCTGGTTTTGTGATCTTCCCCTAAGCATCCTCCAGTGCCACGTGTGGGGCACGCAGACCTTTGGCTGCACCCAGTGTGACCAGATGTTATAAATAAATTAAAAACCCCTTGGCAAAGGCTGCTCGGTCACTGACCAGCACTGACTCTGCCTCACAGTGGTGAGGGTTTCAAATCTGGCCTCTGCAAGAGCTGGGAGGTGGAGATGTACCCAGAAAGAGAGAAAGAGTGTCCCCTGGTCCTGTCAGGCTCCAGAGAAGCAAAGGGACAGCCTGCCTGGGCATCTCTGTTTTATCTCTAGAGGAAAAACACCCCATGAATGGATAAAGCAGCTTTAGGAGGAAAGGCTCAAAAAGCTGCAGGGGAAAGGAAAGAAAGGATCTTCCCTTTCCAGAGTAAGCTCAGGAATGCACCTGAGCACAGACTGGCTCATGGCTACTACAGGGTGGAGAGCAAGAGATACCAGGGAAGGGCGAGGGTGGGAGAAATCACAGTGGCAAGAGGAGATTCTGTCAAAATACTGGTGGCTCCTCCAGGCTGGTGAAGTCTCTCCTCTAAGCCCAGCCTGCCTTCCAAGGCCAGCACCACTGCAGTTCAAAAGGCTGCCTTGATTTAAAGCCCTCAGGATGCCACATGTGCAGGGATTAGCAGAGGGCAGATCTTACAGGGGAAATGTGACTGTTTTCCTCCACCCCTGAGCAGCCCCAGGTACCAAAACTGGTGCAGAAAAGGTGGGTGCCAAGCTAAAGCATCCCAATTGTAGCAAATCTGCTTGATTACATGATATATCCAACCCCACATATCTTGTTCTCATGCCAAGATGTTTCAAGGCATGGCCCGAGCAGCTCTGCAGAGCCCAACCCCATGGAGTCAGACCCCCCCTAAAATGCCTAAACCACCTTCTCACCCCTTTCCAGGCAGCCAGAGGCTGATTTATCCTCTGAGGCAGAAAAGAGCTCATTTGCCATCAACAGGCATTTCAAATCCTACCTGCAATTGCTCTCATTACCCATTAAACACTTAATCCCTCTGCGAACCTGCATAAGCTGCCAGCCTTTGCCACCCCTCCTGGCAATGACTCCTACATGTTGATTAGGTATTTTGTAGAAAAGCAGTCCCTTTTTTTTTTTTTTTTCTTTTTAATCAGATTTAAACATGCTGCCTTCAAAATCCCTTGTAAGAACCCCAAGTCCTGCACAAGGGTAGGAGTAAAATCAGGCAGGGTGACTTCCCCAAGCCTGATTGTGGAAGGGGTGTGGTAGTAGGTTCCCAATCAGGTAATGATTAGTATTGACTTTATTATCCAGAGGGCATAAAAAGACACTTTATTATTAGAAATCTACAGTTCTTATAGGAACAGTGGTGGATCTAAGACCTGATTGGTCTTAAAGTCAAAACCTCTCATGTCACTGTCATATTTTCTGAAAAATCTTTTTGCCAGGATTTCTTCTCCTAGGAAGCTGAGAAGCCTCAGAGGAAAAGGAAAACAATATTATCTGACTGCTTCTCCTGTGTTTCGCTGCTTTGGAGTGGGGTTTGGAGATTGTTTATCCAACATGTGAATTGTTTTTACTTAATGACCAATCATGGTCCAGCTGTGTCGGGACTCTGGAAGGATCACAAGTTTTTAATTAGTATCTTGTTAAACCTTCTCTAAGTATCCTTTCTCTATTCTTTAGTATAGCTTTAGTATAGCATTCTTTAATATATTATAATGCCATAAAATAATAAATTAGCCTTTTAAGAACATGGAGTCAGATTCATCAATTCCTCCTTTGTCCTGGGGACCCAAATAGCAAGTACCACACTCTCACACTACTGGTGTTTATCAATAGCACACTCTAGCAAACCATATCTATAAACAATGGTTGCAGAAAGAGAAATAATAATTGTTTGAATTCTTTTCCTCTAAGTTTCCCACAGTGTGGCAGTCATATTTTCTGAAAAATTTCTTGTCCCAGGATTTTCTCCTAGGAAGCTGAGAAGCCTCAGAGAAAAAGGAAAACAATATTATCTCATTTGCTTCTCCTGTGTTTTGCTGCTTTGGAATGTGTTTGGAGATTGTTTATCCAACAGGTGATTGTTTCATTGGTTTCATGTGAGTTGTTATCACTCTTTGGCCAATCAGTGCCAGGCTGTGTCGAGGCTCTGGAAAGAGTTTTCATTATTATCTTTTTAGCATTCTGTAAGTATCCTTTCTGTATTCTTTAGTATAGTTTTAGTATAGCATTTTTTAATATAATATAATATCATAAAATAATAAATTAGCCTTCTGAGAACATGGAGTCAGATTCATCGTTCCTTCCTTCATCTGCAAATACAACACCACAGCTTCTCCACAGCTTCCCAGGATTTTTCTGGGAAAGTCTGTGCCTGCTCTCTGCTGGCACAATGGCCTGCCTGGAGGAGAACCACCAACAGTGTGTGTCACTGTCATGTTTTCTGACAAATACCTTCACCAGGATTTCTTCTCTTGGGAAGCTGAGAAGCCTCTGAGAAGAATGAAAACAATATTATCTCATTTGCTTCTCCTGTGTTTTGCTGCTTTGGACTGTGGTCTGGAGATTGTTTATCCAACAGATGATTGTTTGATTGGTTTCATGTGAATTGTTTTGACTTAATGACCAATCACCATCAGCTCTGTTGAGGCCCTGGAGAGAGTCACGAGTTTTCATTATTATCTTTTTAGATAATAATGAAATAACTCCTTTCTATATTCTTTAGTATAGTTTAGTATAGCATTCTTTTATATAATATAGTATCATAAAACACTAAATTAGCCTTCTGAGAGCGTGGAGTCAGATTCACTCATTCCTCCTCTCATTAGGGTTACCTGCAAATACCACACTCTCACACTACCAGTAGTACACTCTAGCAAACAATGGTTACAGAAAGAGAGATAATAATTGTTTGAATTCTTTTCCATTAAGTTTCCCTCAGCTTCTCCACAGCTTCCCAGGATTTTTCTGGGAAAGTCTGTGCCTGCTCTCTGTGGCCACAACGGCCTGCTTGGAGGAGAACCACCAACAGCGTGGATGCAGCAAGAGGGAAAAGGGCTCGGAAAGCAGCGGGACAAGGAGGGCTTTGCTCACCGGTGACCTCGTCCAGGCTCTCCTTGGTGACGTGGTCGTTCTGGTTGACCCACTCTCCGTTGCACTTGAAGTAGATCTGCGTGGCGGGGTTGGCGCGGCACACCAGCTCCACGGGCTTGTTCTTGACGATGTAGGCGTCCTGCGGCTCGCGCAGGAAGTGCGGCAGCGTCTCGGCCGGCGCCGACGGGAACGACTCGGGCAGCACATCGCTGTACTCCAGCCCTGCCAGAACACACAGAGCCTCAGCAGCTGCCCCACGGGCCCCTCCACGCTGCTCCCTCCCTGCCCTGCACGCACACGGGTGGCAACAGCAGATGTGGATGGGTGGGAAAGCAAAAACAGCAAAGCAGCAGCTGGCAGGATGAGAGGATACAATCTCAAGCTGCACGAAGGGAAATATAGGTTGGATATTAGGAATAATGAAAAAGGGTGATAAAGTACTGGAATTGTCTGCCCAGGGTGGAGTTACCGTCCCTGGGTGTGTTTAACAAAGCCTGGATGTGGTTTAGTTGAGGTGTTGGGGCTGGGTTGGACTCGATCTTGGAGGTCTCTTCCAACCCAGTGATTCTGTGAAAGCAACCCAGAGCTGTGGGATCAATCCTGTTTCACCTGGGTTCTAGGCCCCCATCCATACCCTGAACCCAAACCTGGGTGATCTCACTAGAGGACACTGCAAGGGAAAAGCAAAACAAACCCAGGTCCATGGATAGTGACAGGGACACAGAGAGGCTCCAAAGGGGCTGGTGTCCCCCATCCTCTTCCTCACAGCCCTGAGGAATGCACGGGCATGCTCTGAGCAGAGTGCTGGCAGGGTTTGTCCTGGGAATGCTGACCATGTCCCCAGGACAAATCTCAGCCATTCACACCTTCAGTGGAGCTGCATTTGGGAACTCCCCCCCTGCCAGCACTTGGATTTCAGCATCACCCAACAGGAGAGCAATGGCTTCCAGCCCAGGCACCTCCAGAGAACATCACCCAAAGGTGCCACCAGAATTCCCACTATCCCAGAAAACGGGGGGCTGTGCCCTGGGGAGCTCCATATTCCTGCTTGTTTGCTTTCAAAAGCCATCTAAATGCAAAAACAACAGGAGGTCGTGTCTGCTCAGGCCAGGCCAAGAAAAATCTTGTGCTCTTGAGCCTAAGGAATGTTATCCCTTAGGAGTGAGAGCTCCAGGGTGCCTCATTCCCAGCAGCAGCTTGGGAAGATGCTCTGACTGAAGCTGAGCATCATCTGCAGACCCGTTTCCAGCCCATTAAGATCAACCTCAAATATCACAGGAGTAATAAAAACCCCCACACAGGTGCACAGGGATGCTGCTGCTTAACCTGTTGTTCCTGGGAATCTCACTAGCAGTCAGGTCACATCTCGAGGCTTTTCTTTACCCTCAAAGGAGTTATGAGCTTTTCCTCCTCCTCTCTTTCCCCAGCCAGAGCTGTGATTCTCAACTTCAGGCACTGCAGTGTGCAGGAAAACACTAAATATCCCCAGCCCCACGATAACATCTCCAGAGCTGGCAGGGAGAAGAAAGGATCCCACTGCCTCCATCACCCTTGGCAAGCAGTGGTGCTGCATGGAGAGAATCAGAATCCCAAGCTGTGAGGAGGAGGAGGAGGAGGAAGAGAAAAAATATATAATCAGATGCAGCAAGAAAACAAGATGACCAGGCTTCCTCCTGAGCAAAAATCAGTGAGGGAAAAAAAAAAAAAAAAAAAAGGCACGAGGTCAGTCGTTTAAAATCCATTTAGGAAAATTGACTTTCCATTTCCATTTAACACAGCACTAAGGGAGAGCGGTAGGACATTTGTCATAATCCATTAACTGCTCTTTTGGAAACAATGAATTAAACTCTGGGCTAATTTCTCTCTCTCTCTCTCTGGCTCTTCCCCACCTCTCTGCTGCTGGTTATTTCCTTCCCCATCTCATTTGCAGACCTGTAATTTTCCCAGGCCCTGTGGCAGGCAGGGAAACAGGGAATGCCAAGGTGTGTGACCCCCCCCCTCCACTCACCCTGAACAAAATCTTGGAGACAAAATCCCACACTGCTCCTTGTGACCACCTCAGGCCACTGCTCCTGCTGGGCAGCCTTTCACCTGTCACAGCAGCAAACATCCCTTTTTTCATCTGCTAATCAATTTTTCATCCACTGAGTTGTTGTTCTGTTGTTTGTGTGTTGTTTTTTTTTGGTTAATTTCAAAAACCACTTTGATGCCATGGCTCTAAATTCCCTGGCAATGGGGGCTGGCAGGAGATAATCGAACTGGCAGCAGAGGCAGCCAACAAAACTTCACTCACAGGCTTGTGTGCAAACCTCCCTGATATGATGCTCCCTGCCTCCCTGTGGCAAAGTCAGACCTGAGCTTGGCAGCTGGGAATGGGCACAGGTATCCTCACGAGCCAGTTTTTGGGAGGATCTTCCCCTGTGGAGGTGACACCCAAAGTGCTCATGGACCTAATCCAAATCCACAGGCCAGGAGGAGAGATCCTTCTCCAACAGCCAGCAGCAAGGATATGTTTTCTCCCACCTCATCACCACTTTGGTGATGCTGAACAAGGCTTTAGGTCATCCAAGAGGAGCTGGGAGGGGATGAGTCACGGCCGGATAGGGATGAAAATCTGGATTTGTGACTCACTGGGATCATCTGCACGGGAAGGGTGAAGGCTGCAGTGGAGCCACTCGGGCCCCCAGAACAATGTTTGGGGCTGAGACATTGCTGGTACCAAAAATCCCATCCAGACCCTGCTCCAAGAGGGGCTCTGCCCAAATAAATGCTGAGGCTTTAAGGTTCTCCTCCACTTATGTGACTTTGGGGATTAAGTGACTTTGGGGATGAAGGTGGGAGAATAGGATGGTGTCACCAACCAGATCCAACACCTGCTTTTGGTGGCTACAAAAACCTGCTGGGTTTAAGGTTTCAACCCAAAACACCTGAACCTTTTAAGCCAGGAGCATGTTGGGAAAGTTTAAGTCCTGCAAACTCACGACAGCTGAGGGATTTTTTGTTTCTGGCCAGGAAAGATCTGGGGCCAAAAAAGCAGCTCTAACAGGAGACAGGAGAAAAGGATGATGGGTTCTTCATGGCAGACTCACAACTGGGGCCATGCCATGGAGCCCAAACCCCACAGATTCCCCAGACTCGTGGATGGGAGCAAATCAAGGGGGAGGGTGATTTTTCCATTCAGAAATTAGCTGGGAAAAAACCACTCCTGGTGGTACCAAAAATCCCATCCAGACCCTGCTCCAAGAGGGGCTCTGCCCAAATAAATGCTGAGGCTTTAAGGTTCTTCTCCATGTGGGCATAGTGACTTTGGGGATGAAGGTGGGAGAACAGGATGGTGCCACCAACCAGATCCAACACCTGCTTTTGGTGGCTACAAAAACCTGCTGGGTTTAAGGTTTCAACCCAAAACACCTGAACCTTTTAAGCCAGGAGCATGTTGGGAAGGTTAAAATCTTGCAAACTCATGACAGCTGGGCAATCTTTTATTTCTGGCCAGGAAAGATCTGGGGCCAAAAAAGCAGCTCTAACAGGAGACAGGAGAAAAGAATGATGGGTTCTTCATGGCAGACTCACAACTGGGGCCATGCCATGGAGCCCAAACCCCACAGATTCCCCAGACTCGTGGATGGGAGCAAATCAAGGGGGAGGGTGATTTTTCCATTCAGAAATTAGCTGGGAAAAAAGCATTTGCAGCTGGGCAGGGTGTTTTCCTCCAGCATGAAACGCTCACTGCTATTTAAACACACTGGGGAAGAATTAAGGCATAGGAACAAGGGGGACTTTGGATGAGAAAAGGGAGGAGAAGCATGCTGGGCACATTTATCACAAGCCATCAAGCCAGCCTTTCATCCCCGCTGCCACCCGCCGCATGGGAAACCTCTGCCTCTGCCGGCACTCATGGGGGCCCCCCAAAAAATCCACACTGGGGGGAGGAACACGCTGCTTGTGCAGGAACAACTGCTGCTGCTGTGAGCCCTGACTGCCTGGCAACAACTGCAAAACCCAGAAAAAGGAACTTTCCCAGTGCTGCGACTCCACCACCTGCAGAGGCCACCGCGGCTCCGGTGCCACCCCAGGTGACACTGTGGCCCAGTGACCCACAGGAGCAGCAGGCAGGGGAGATGTTTTTGCATGGGAAAGCAGGAAAGGAGCCCTGCACAGCCGGGATTTCCAGTCCTGCAATCACACCAGCAATAAAACTCCCAGCAGTGACAAACTAATAAATATTTGAGAGCGCGCTCGGCTGCCTGTAATCATCTCCCTGGCAGACGTCTGCAGGGGGTTCCCATCTGCTGGCTTCCCTCCTTCCTGCTGGAGGTGGGTGCCTGCTTCCCAGATCTCTCCTGGGGGTTTTTTTGGGAAGTCCCAGGCTGTCACCATCCCACAATCTCACACGACTTGGGGCACGGTGTTCTGGGGTGTCTGGAGCTCTTTGTGGGCAGGGAGAGACAAAAAGGAGGGGGCAGCTCCCAGCTCAAGCCACGGGACCAACTCCTGAAGGCTGTAGTAGGAGCAATGAGAGGAAAAGGGAGGAGGGGAACAGGCATTTCTTTTCCTCTCCCCATCCCTCATCACACATTTTAATCTGCAGGGGCTGAGCTGGATTATCTGCAGCATCTGTTCCCTGGGGGGTGATTTGCAGATGTTTGCCGCCAGCCTTTGCAACTTTGTGGAGATCCACGACCCCAAACCCACCTCACCCACCAAAGGGAGCAGCACCAGGGTGGGATCCAGCCTTAACCCCCCCTCCATCACCCCAAACACGTGGCACTGAGGATGGCAAGCCCGGGAAGCAACTCCCCCTGCAGCAATGGCCAAGCAAACCTCCCCAGGAAAGCGTTAAAATCCTCTCTCCTGCAATTGTTATCCCTCCAAATATTTGGAAGATTACAGGAGCATTAGTGGCTGCCCATCACCCACGGCCACCCCTCCCTCCTGCCGGTCCCAGGCAGGCAGGGAAGCCATGGAAGGATGCAGGGATTAGGCTGGGATGCCTGGGTTTCTCCAGCTAAATCTCAGTGGCTCTGGATGCTTAACCCCTTCTGCCTCCACCTCCCCACGTCCCTGCCTGCCTCAGGGCAGGTGCTGCCTCCTGGGAAGGCCTGGTAGGGAAGAGTTAAACCTGCCAGGTGGGTTAAAATCCTCCTGGAGAAATGAAAAAATACATGACAGCTTATCTGCAGCACCACAGGAGGAGTCATGTGCCTTCCCAATCTCCCTTCCCAATCCCCCAGCAGGGATGGGAATGGCTCTGGCTCCTGAGACAGAGATGGAGGGGATGCTCCAGCCCCCAGCTGGGCTCCAGGAGGTGTCTGGAAAGCTGGAGTGGGGCTGTCCCCCCTCCCCAGATCCCCCCTCCTATTGCCTCCAGGGAGAATGTATGAACAGGCTCATTGAGAGATTAGTGCTGTTGCCATTTCAACTCCAGCAAATTTTGACACTGGAGCCATGGCATGGCTCCCTGCCATTCCAGAATCCCTGCCTGACTCAGGGCATCCCTGCTGGGACACAAAGGCATCCCACCACATCCCAGCCCATCCCTGAGCTCAGGAGGAACTGGCATCACCAGTCCAGGCCTGTCCTGTTCCCATGGGCTTCCCATCACAGGCTGCCATTGGGACAACTTTGTGTCCAGGGGTGACACCCCTGCAAACTTCCCTTCCTAAAAGC